GTAGAAGAAAAGAAGTCCAGCCCAGGAAAGGAATATGGATGCAACTGAACTATAGAATTAAAGACTTCTATCCCTTGTCTGTCTTTATTCTTCTTTTACGTGAATCAAAATGGAAAATATGCAGACTAACAAAATTAAAAAATTAAAAGGACCACAGTAAAATATTTCCCCTTAACTACATCCAAGCATGAAAACACTACGCAGAATGTCCAGTTGTATCTCCTTGATTGATACTGTTTCCTCAGGAAGACATAGAGAAAAGGAGGAATATTGTCAAGTCATAGTTTAGAGATGGAAATGCGTGATCTGAGCCTCACTTCACACATACTTTAATCCCTCCCCATCCAAGAATGCCTGTGTCACACTGCTTAGAAGACAGTGAGGAAGGAGACCCATCAAGGTAAGGAAACAAAAAGTGCAAGATAAATAAATAGAGGGAAAATGATTTCTCATAAATGAGAAGTGATTTGCTGCAGGTATTTAAGATTTTATTTTACCTTAATACACAGATCACTGACTGTTTTAAAAAGAATATAAAAATCAACCTCAATATAGTTTACATTTTTAACACCATCTACTTTGCATAGTGAGAGAAATTTCTGATACATCATCATTTCTAGGGCTTCCAGTGAAAACAGGTCATTCCTTTTACATTGTCATGCTCATGGTCCAGCAACCTTAATGAGAAAATTCCTTAGAACATCCTAGTCCTACATAGTAAATACTTTTAAATAATAGATGTTTACTTACTCCATCTTTTTACGGTGCCTTTTATGGTCCGTGCTTTTTAAAGTTACTCAGTCTCTATGTCTTCTCTATGTTCAGAAGAAAAACCTACTTTGGTGTTTGAACAGACTACTTCTATTCAAACACTGGAAAACAGGGAAAGCTGAAAGACACTCTATTCCACATATGAAGTATGGAACAGCATAATATTGCCAGTGATACCTGCCTCTGCTAGCTGCATCCAGGATCCAGCCCAGGCAATTGCTTAGTTACAAAGTCTCAGTGACGAAACCATATTTCTCCATAAATATGAGATCTATTTAATGAACTTAAATTACATATATATAAAAAACTGCTGCTCTTTCCCACTAAAAATCAAAGTATACATAGCCTGTAGACCTTTTCCATGCCTCATGTCATAAGAGATTGCTAGCACTTACTAAAGAAGGTAGAACTATGATCTAAATTTGTCAGTAATCTCAGAGAGATAAATTTTACAGTCAGATGTCTGGTTTGGTTTTGGGTTTTGTTTGGGGTTTTTTGTTTGTTTCTGTTTTTAATATTCATACTTTACAAGATACATATTGTTCTACCCATGTGGCATCTCACTTCTAGCACTGACCACAATACCTGATATACTGAAGCACTTTTATTAACTTGCTGTTATATGTGCCTTCTTTTTCTGAGTATTAAAAATTTCTATTCAAAAGTTTGTTGATCGTGTTTTTCAGTATGTATTTTCATAGAGCATGAGTTAAAACACAAAATCAAAGTTGGTGTTCATTTTCAGGACACAAACAAATACGTTTGTGTCTCAGAAAAAGGATGAAATATGTGATTTTCCAACTTGTAAAAAAACTGACGTGTTTTCCAATGACATCTTCTCCAATATCATCAAATGCTAGAAATTTACAACTGACATGCATTGCTTTCCTAAATATTCACTATATGACATGACTGATTCCTGGCATAGAGGAGAAGAGTTCTCATTGTCCTGTTCATTGATGAAGGGCACCATGACCCTGGTGCCCCTGAATATGCCATGAAAATGCCTGGTTTGCTTTTTGAAATGTTGATATGAGAGTGTGTTTCCTTGAAAAAAACAGCAGCCCTAGAGACTGTCCATTACAGTGATCATCAATTTCTTCGAGGGAACTGGTCCTTTCAACACATTCCAGGAAAGGGGGAAGGGGACCCATAAGCTCCAGACCTAGGGGACATTCGAGATTGGATATTCAAGACAAGTGACGTTAATGGAGTAAGAAAAGGGTAGATATAGAAATACCTGGCATCTGTGGACAGTAACTGAATAGTAACTGATACCGCCAGCTCATCTCTCAAGTGTTTGTTTAAAGAGCAATGGATAGTGATAACGATTAAGACAGAGGGAGACTTCACTGAAAGGCAGTTCAGTATAGTATGTCAGAGAGTATATTGAACTTCAAGCAGATGAAACTAAACCAGAAAATAGACCAGAACATTCTTACTTTAGGATCAGTGGGGAAGGCATCTGTCAGAAGGGCCAAAACAGAAAACTGCTCAGAATTTTACTTTGGAGAAGTTTCTGCAATTTTAGCAATGTTCTAAACCACAGACCTAAGGAGTTAGATCTAGTAGAAGAGTACAGTGAAAAGACAGCTGACAGACCTGAAACAAGTTACAGAACTTAAGACAATTTGTGTTGATGGGCTGATGGTTCCCTCCTGTAGATGATGATGATGTTACCTATAGCTAGCCAGTATGCTGAAAAACCTCACGCGTAATGATCAAAGATGAATTGCAGAAATTTGTCCAGCAGGAAACTGAGATAAAACCATAGAACTAGGCCTTTCACATCTTCCCCTATCCAGGAAGATACAGCCTTGTACACTGACTGTATCAGCAGCATGGTACCTCTCTAGACAGACTTTTAACATGCATCTCCATCACAGGCACACCACCATGATAAAATACAGCTTCAAAATCAGAAACTTAGATAAACTCTTAACAATAGGTTAAAGACAAGCAGAGAAAAACAGCCTTTAGTCCTTCTCAAAGAGACATTTCCCCCTAAATTTTAGGGGGAAAATGGGATTAGGAGAAAGCATGAGGAAGGAGTTATTACATGAGATAATCTTTATTTTGTGGAACTGGAAATAAAACAGCAGAAAATTTAGAAGGAATGGCAAATGAGGACAAAAAGTTATGTGGGTTGACAAAGTTTTATGTGGGCTTAAAAGTTTGAAGGTAAAATACTGCTTGTAAGGCAAGAATATTAGTAGGGAACAAAAAAAAAAAAAAGCAGCTATGTTTGTGTATAGAACATACTTGCACTGTGTGATTACTGCTGCACCAAAAAAATTCTTTACAGTGATACAGATACTCATAACTCTCCATGTAAAGGTGGATATGCATGTACAATCCCATAACATAGAATATTAATCAACTTGGTGTATAATCATTAGTAATCATTTCAGCAATCTTAACTGTTAGCACAGAACAAAATCATTTGAACAAAAACAAATGTTAAAACAAACACCAAAGCATACATTTAAGAACAGATGTATTAAAAAAGAATAAAAACATACTACACATTTCTCAGATCTCTTCCAGCAGAGATTTATGAGTCAACAAAATTTGCCAGTATAAATCCTATTTTATTAAACCTGGTAGTTCTACCATAAGCACTCACACTTGTCTACTTGATTAGGCTTCAAAAGCCCAGTTTTATATTGCAATTAAAGGTGGTAAACCTTGATTGAGTTGAATGAGAAATGACTTGGAAGTTTGTGAACAAAATGTAAACCTTTTCTGGGATCCAAAGGGGGTGTTAAATTGTGTTAAATGTAGACATGATGTGAACTGGGCACCTGTGTTATGTCATAAATAGTCTCCTGTCTTACCACCAAGAATAGGTCCCTTACATTGTCGGGTTCTCCCCAGGTAAATCTGAACCTCTTGAACATGTTTTCACATTTCTGTCCCCACCTTTTTGTTTGCGATGCAAATGTAACACATCATGGGAGCAGTATTTTTGCTCAATCTGTAAGTACACCCTCAAAAAATCTTCCTATAATTCTTCCAGATTTCATGACATTCACCCTTTTTTAACATTCAGAAAGTGATATCAAGTCAGTAAACAATATGCTCATTTCAGAAACACAAAATATTTTCTTAAAATTCATTTTTACTTGCTTTTTAGGCAGAGCTTTATGGTAATCATTAAATAACTGTAGTTCTGTGCAATAAACTCCTCATTCACGATGGAATCGGTTTCTCCAAACTATCACATCTTCCCTTCATACTGTTTATACAGATGCTTATATATTTAATAGATGTTTGCACTAAGCGTTAATTGATATGGTCAGAACAGTGAAATGGTCATAAAACACTGTTGGAAATGGTGGAATACTTCAAGTGGACTTTTGATGTACTTAGGTCTAATATACCCCAAGAAAATTAAATAAACAAACTATTATCCTTTTTATTTTTACTAGAATTATTGCTAACAGTACTTAAAAGATAACTGTTAATACTGTTAATTGCAATGTAAACAACTTCAGGATGCTATTAACAAATTAGCTTTTTTTTTTTAAGCTTATATACTAATGTTCATCATTATTTTGATTCAAGAGCTGCACTTAAGTCAAACCAAGATATTTTCAAAAAACAAACCTGGTTTTTACTCATCAGTAATTGCTGTGATTCCAAATACTTGCTATGCAGTGTACTTTTACTCAAGTCATGTTAAATGAGCCAATACAGGCCTATTTATGTATATATATTTCTGAATATTATGTAATTCCTCATAGCTAGGGTTTTTTTTTCATGTAAGATTTCTATAAAATAAAAATAGGTTTGGACAACAGAAATTTGCATCTACCATCTAAGCTGCATCAAAAATATGGACCACAACCTTGTGCAAATCACATACAATCAAATCCTGCATTTAACTACATAAATTAAAAAAAAACCGTATGTTTTCTCCAAGACTACAGAAAATGGCAGCTGTTAAAGGAGTAAGTATTAAGTTGCTCTGAGACTTTTTCTCAGTGCTACACTCTTTTTGAATCTGTCCTAAGCAGGTTTAAATGTTATAAAACCCTTGATCCCAACAGATTAAGAGTCATTATTTATTTTGCATTTTTAAATACTTGTGTTTATTGTTATGCTGAGCACACAAGGTGAAAGACTGATATTTTCTTTGCTGATCATATATATTAATATTTTTACAAACAGAAAAGAGCTGAAACTAAAAGAAAATCACGAAGATTTTTGTACGTGCACATCCATACCTGAGCATTAAGAAGTTCTTCACATTTGTGAGAATGTTTTTCAACTGCTAGTATATACTGTTTTTCAATAGCTGCTTCTTGCTGTTGAACTGTAGATTGTAGCAGTGCCTGCAAAAAGAAAGCACAGAGTATTCAACAAAGATATAACTGGGATGTTTATTGGTAACTGCAGATCTACTAATACTTGTGTATAACCAGAATGCGGAATGTTGTTATAAATTTGGAATGTGCAACTATTAAAGTACCTTTCTATGTAACACTACCTTGTTTTCAGTCAGGACTAAAATTTTTTGGATCTCAGATTTCTTGTACAGTCTGCTTAAAAGAGAGCAGCACACAGAAGATAGAGAGGGAGAGTATTTCTGTTAAATATACTCAGTTTAGTGGGACCACACAAGAAGAGAAGCATATGAAAGCTGCTGAAGAAAAAAAAAAAAAAAAAGCCAGACATATTTCCCTGGCTGACAAAACTCCACATCCTCTCGGCACAGTGTAAGATCCCATGGGCCAAGCATGATCTTCACAACCACAAGTCAAGTAAAAGCAGATGGAAATTCTGAGTAATTTAAAACATAAAAGAACACCCCCCCAGGAAGTTCACACTCAAATGTGAAGCAGTGGAAGTCAAAGCGTGGAAAGTCAAAGTACCAAGACAGTAACAAAAAGGTGATAAAATTAGGAGTTCTCTGTGTGTGCACACGCGTGCATGCACACACGTGTATTCACATGCACTTGACTGAACTCTGCAGAATTTCCAGCATCTGAACGCAAATAAGGAAATAAAAAAAATTTAAGATACGTGAAAAACCAAATTACCATTTGAGGAATTACACTCAGGCTTCCTTAAACAGTGGTGGTATTTTAACGCAGGATTTACTTAACTCATGCTATGCAAGTCTTTTTCCGTAATATTATAAAATATTTATATTGCTTTCCAAATATTCATTGGGCTATTTATACACGACGTAGCAAACTATTTTTAACTAGTAATCAATATAGTGAAGTAGTTGAAATTACTGTGTAAGTTAAAACAGACATAAGTTTTATAGAAAACAGACCTTTGGCCCAAATGCAGACAGAAAAAAAAAATCCCATCTTTCACACAATCTTTATTTTAGAGATATATTTACTTCGTGGAACATAACACACACACACTAAATACAATTTTGAATACTTTTAAAATGTATAAAAAAAACCCCAACCTTCTGACAATTTTTGAACTACCTTTCCAGATTTTTCACTGATTAGCCTCTTATGCCAAAATTGTTGTTTTTCAGTAATACTATAGTATGGTAGTAGTTTTCAGCACAGGTTCAGAAAGATCTAAAAGGTAAAAAAATGGTGCTTAACATATACTTTAATCAACACATAAGAATACGTTTACTAGTGTTTGCAGGGAATTTAGCTTGCCATAAGTTTACTTTCATAAAAGCCATTTTCTTTTGAACTAAATTTAGTTCTTTCATTGATATAAATTCAGGCAATCACGAAAACTTAACTCTCAAAGAAGTATAACTTCTGTATGTGAAACTTTATATGCTAAATCCTACTGTGTATAAACTAGAATTGCCACATATCATTGGCAAAAAATAAGTCTGTATTTTGGGATATGGGGTTTTTTTGCCTAAACTCTTGTGACAAGAATTGTTTCATATAACTGGCACAAAAGAAAAAAGAAATCAAATTCTGATCTTAGGGAAAACAGTAACAGAATGGTCATTAAGTTGCAATGACATTTCTCAGATAGCTTCTTGCTCACACCAAGGACTGAGTCACTTTATGCACTTTATTATGCAAACTTAAGTGGCGACTGTTAAATTTGTATAAAGAACTTTCAGTTTTCAAGGAAATGATTATTATTCATTGGATGGCATGTAGTGGTTGTTAAACTTTTTAATTTTTTTAATTATTATTATTATTTTCTTTAGAAAATACATAAAATTCCACATTCAGAAACAAAAGCCTTCCTTTTCTATCATACACACTACTAATATAGTTTAAATAGTACCACAGAATTGATCCTGTATTTGACTATTCCACTAGTTGGCCGAGTAAGGAGAAAGAGAAAAATCCCCTTATGTGGCACAGTACTTCAGAGATAGCTTCCATGTTGTGCCATTAAAAAAATCTCCAGACAAAAATCTTTATTTTCTATGGAGAGATGCAGCAGATCAGCCAGTCAAACAGGCCTTTAAAATACAGAATAAATTATTTATGCCAAGGCCCAAATCTTTTCAAGTCACTTAAAAGAAGATGAGGTATGCCACATAATACCCTGAAATAGCAATAACTCCTTATTATAAAAATAAGATTTCCCCTTTCAAGAGGAATCTGAAGATTCTCAGAACCTTACGGTTTTAAGATATGCTTACAATCAAAACAGAATGCTGAGCTCTAATTTATTTTAAAGTGTAGAATGATTTTATTCTCATGAGAAAATTTCTATGCTTAGGACTGATCCTAATTGTCAGTACTGTCAAATAAGGCACTTCTATAAAACAAAGTCTACTCTTCTGAAGTATGAACAGAAAAGTGTCATAGAGAATTGGCATGACCAGACAAATGTATCTTGGCCTTTAAATTGACCTTCATTATTCTTCATTTATCATTGAAATCATGTCCCATATTTAATAAATTATCAGAAATAAGACAATTTTTAAAATAAAATAAAAGCATAACTTGACAATTTCCTTTAATTCTAATCTAACATGCAGTTGTTGCCTAAGACACTACTATGTTCATTGCCTATATCCTACATCTGCCTGGCTCCAGCTGACGATAAAAAGTAAATATGAACATAGAGATGTCATAAAACTATTTCTTTCCAAGATTGTTAAAAAAAAAGTAAAAAGAAAACAGTTAAAAAATGATGTAATTTTCTTCTTTGTCTGATCACAAACATCATTTAAGGTTTCTTGATACAGTAAATACAGCAGAGATGCATGATATCCATCCAAAGCTTTTGCAAATTTCAAGATAGTCAACTACTTAAATTACTAATTAAAAACCCTAATTTACTAATTAATTAATTTACTAAACTAAAACATACATTTAGCTATCTGCTGATAGGCATCTCTAACTCTTATAGTTACATACTTCCTTCAGTACAATGACATTAAAAGTCTTTTGACTAATTGCTATTCTGGGCAACTACTTATCACTGCTGAAACACCACTTTCTTCCTTAATTAATTACACAATTATCCTGGTGGGCTGACATTCCATAAATCTGTGGCCACTGACCAAATATCAAGCTGGCATTCTTGAAGCAGTCTCCTTTCAATAGCTCATTGAATAATTTCAAGTAAGGTGACAGCAGAATGTAGCCTATGGCATCTGTTGCATGAAGTCAAAGGGTAGGATTTCAAAATCAGTGCTCTTGGTAATTCATTTCTCCTTCTATATATTGTGCAATGAACTTCCTTGACACAGGGCGGCAAGGGTCATCCTGTACCAACAACCAGTGATGGCAAGAGGTGTCAGTCTCAATGTGGATCTGTTTCTACACTCCTATCACATTTGTTGCTTCAGTCTACACTTGATATAGTCATGGAGAAAGTGGTGGGTTCAGATTTTCAGGATTTCTTTACATTTATCAACTAGTCCTTCCTGCTTCTTGGCTTTTTTTTTTTCTCCCCTTCCTCAGCACAACACACTTCACAAGCCCTAACTACATCTGCCTTTAACCAAAAGTGAGGTCACCTTTTAGGTCTTTACTAGAGCCAAATAAACAGTCATCTTTTTCAGAGAGTTACTAGATTTTCTTTTCCCATTTGTAATTTCAAAAAAATCTTCTTCAAAAATCTTCTGCCTCCCAACCCCTTATGTAACTCATTGTATCAGGGAACAGTTTAAAGGACTGTGGTACCTTAGATAAACAACTACTTAAAGAGGTTTGCTTAAAATTCAAATACAAAGCCATGCATGAATATAATAAAAACAACCCCCAGCCACTATAGTGGCTGCATAACCATAGTTATAAGTACACCATCATTTGAACTGATGCCTTTCCACTAATCAGACAAAGATGGAATTCACAAGGCTTATGTTCTAAATAATCAAAGTATATTTAGGTATAATAAAATAAGAATAGTAACATCTTCCCTCTGACTCCTGAAAAGAAAATTAAAAATATCACCACAGCTCCAAGTAATCAGACAAACATATACACATTGCCTTTTAACATTTCCTTCTTCCCCGTATCTCATGTTACACTTTTACCATTACTAAACTGGACAAAAAAATCATTAACTGGGAAAACCAAGAATTAATGTCTACACTGACATTGTTTTACTAGGTTTGGTTCAGTTATAATTCACTTTCATAGAATCATAGAATAGTTTGGGTTGGAAGGGACCTCTAAAGGTCATCTAGTCCAACCCCCCTGCCGTGGGCAGGGACATCTTCA